GTCTTTCGCTACTCAGGTTAAACATGTAATATAAGTCACTTAGATAACTTAAAAATGTTACAGTTTGGCTTTTTTTTTAGTATTTTATTTGTTCCTGAGTAAATCGGTTTGGCTGAGAAATAAAGTTATAGTTTTTACACAGCTGAATAAACGTCAAGCAGACAACTGATTATCAGAAGTGTGAGATGCTTGAGAATATACTCCGGTGTCCTGTTATATTTTAGATAGCAAGGAGCAGACGAGACTGAGTTTATTAAACTCCACCGAAACAATCTACAGATTTCATTAAACTTTAATAAACTATCATCTTGTCTTTATTTTTAGTTAGCATGTACCTTAAACACTTCAAGTTGGAAGCCAGGGCTCTAGAGTGCGACCAATTTGGTTGCAAATACGACCAAATTTTTCAGTGGTGCGACTAAAAAAAACCATTTGGTTGCACCTGTGCGACCAACTGTTCGGGTAGCAAAAAAAAATAAAAAAATCTGCAACCTTCCCTGTGGTCAACAACAGACACATATTATGCCCCTATCGTGGACTAAACCAATCAGAGATAGTAAGGGGCGGGACCTCTCTGATTGGCCGTGGTCCAGTTGAAAGTGCAGGTGGGAGTGGGAGGTGAGTAGCTTGAATAAAGCGATATCAATTCATTAAATCCTGAATAGACTTTTAAATATAACTGTGTTTGGCCAGAAATGCCAGATTCTCAGATTAAAGCTCACAAAACCATTTCAACAACAACCAAACAGCAAATGAGAGCAGGTACACGGATTCCACACAAAGACGTAAACACAGAGCGGACCGACTCATCAGAATCAACTTTGTCTTTCTCGGGCAGCCCGTAGACGGACACGCTGATCAATGTCGTCATGAATTTTGCTGTTTTGCTTCCACGACTATTAAAATCACACTCCATGCACAGCTAGCTCTCTCTCTCTCTGTACTTCAAGAACAGTTTCCCGTCTCCAATCTCTGTTTTCTGTATTATTCATTCGCTTATTACCCACCAGTCTACCGTTGTTTACAGCGCTGTCGGCTGCTGTCTTTTTCTTTTCTTTTTTTTCACTTAAATGACCTCGGACAAGAGAGCCTATTTTTTCTGTTGTTCAATACTGAAGAAATTTAAACTTTATATGCAGAACATTGTAGAATATTTTTAAGGTTATCTGCTATAAAAAGCCAGACCAGGAAAATCTCCTTCATGTTTTTCTGTGTTTTATTCTCAGTTACTTTCACACAAAGGCATCTGCTGTGATGTTCACAATTCTGATGAAGTCAGTACTGATAAATGATCAGAATTATAATATTTCTGACTGTCTGAGGCTAAGTTGAATCGAATCGGGACTTTGAAAACCAGAATCGAATGGATTATAGAAATCAGTGATGATACCCAGCCCTAGTGAGCAGCCTAGGCACGACAGAAGTGGATGTAGCTGTAATAGGAAAAGAACTATTGCTAACTTCTCTGTTAAGTTAAGGCCTGATCCTTCTGAAATTCATAGCCAGTGCTCTGACACGGTGTCATCAATCTTTGAATGCTGAAAAAGCACAGTGTATCCAGAAAAACACATTATATTATATAAATTATTATAAAATTTGTGTTAGGCGTACCGGTACGCCCATGGCAAAAAGTTAGTCTAGAGCCCTGTAAGCTAATGATATTTATATAAGAGCAGATGCATGCTGGTGCAATAAGCTGTATGTTTTACGTTCAATGGATGCATGATCTGATTAGTCGACTAATTGCAAAAATAATCGGTGACTAGTTGACTATCAAAATAATCGCTTGTGGCAGCCGTACTAGCAAGGCATTCCTAATAAAGTGGCCAGTTAAGTGTATAAGTGAAAATATCAAAAAAGGAAAATTCTGCTTTAAAAAGAAAAAAAAACCATACACTATGAGAGAACAATTAAAAAACAAATCTATAACTACATTGACAATAAATACTGAGCATTATTGCCCTTCTGGAAAATAAGCGAACATTTATCACAACAGATCACTTTACCTAAACTTAAACCAGTGCTTGAATAATAATCAGACTTACCCAATTTGTATGTTAGCACATAGAGAACTGTCCAAGGTGTGCCAGGCACTGCCAGCAGCTTCCTCCACACCCTCCACGGCCGTACAGCATCTGCTCCCTGCCCTCCCTTTTTGCTGCCGTCTGCCTGCTGGCCCCTCACAGTCTCATCATCCAACACAGGGGCCCCCCACACAAACAGGGCTACACCAGCATACACAAATGTCAGCAGCATAAACATCCAGCTCCATCCAGCCACGTCAATCACAGCTAGCAGCCCACCTCCGGCAAACACTGACCCAGCTTTATACCCTACAACTTGTGCTGTGTTCCCAAGGCCCAGCTCCCCACGTCCTTTTAACAACCCCACTGCAGCTCCATCTACAGCAATGTCCTGAACAGAGGCCAAGGTGTTCATTGCCAGCAGGGTTCCAGCTACACCCCAAATATGTGCCTCTGGGGCCAGGGCAGCACTGGAGAGGCATGTTAGAGCAAGGCCAGAGACTGTTCCCACCAGCCAGCGACGCTTAGTACCAACTCGGTCCACCAAAGGCGCCCAGAGGACTTTGAGTACCCAGGGGAAGTAAAGGATCTTGGTAAAACCGATGCGTGTGAGAGAGTGCCCAGCTCCTCGCAGGTATACAGGAAGCAACGATGACTGGAGACCATAGGGAATGCCCTGGACAAAGTACAGCAGGCCCAAGAACACTAGTTTGTCATTCATGATCTATCCCCAAACGTGACCCTGTGGTAGAGCAGACACTGGCTTGGTCCATTGGTCAGGTCATCGTCATTGTTTTGATTAAAGGGGACTCCCTCAAATGGACTGGTTGTTCCAGGTGCGCAGGCCTGAAATAAAAGACAGAGTGTGAAATTAAAGGTTGTTACAGTGAACGTCCACAGCTCATACAGGCAGCCTTAAAAGGCTGGGTCTTCACTGCTGCTTTATTGCTTCTCTGCCCAGCTCAGTTACCAGCAACGTTGCCCCAGCTAACGAGAGCCCCCTCAAAGTCAATGACTCGTGCTAATCATGTTCAGTACTGTTGTCATTGCATCTGGTTCATCGTTTACCCTGCATCACAACTCAAACACGACTTTGCATCGTTTACATTTCACTACAGGTGCACAATTTAAGTTTGTTGCCTGGCTACCGTTAGCAAGCTAGCTTGCTCTCAAGCTAAACGTACTCAAGCGATTAGCTTAAAACATATTTCATCAGAAGTCCAGTATTATTTTTGGAATTTTATTTTGACCCGGAAGTAACTAGAAAAATATCAGCGTCTGTTCTAAGCAAAATCTTAAAGCATACTTAAAGGAAAGTTAGTTAGCTCTGTGCCAGCTAACCGGAGAGGGTGCTCCGCTTGTTTTCAGTCGGGATGAGCTTTGAGGTTGCCAGATTCTGGCCAAACAATCCCCCTTTCTGCGATGCTAAACCAAGAATAGTTTCTTCCATCATTTAAACTTGTTTTTTTTTTTTGACGTGAAATGATATATACCGGCTTTTAACCTCCTAGGACCTGGCGTCCACATATGTGGGTTATTTAGACCAAAATACTCAATTCTGCTCTACAAGGGCCTGATATCCACTTACGAGGACATTATACTGCTACTGTTCTATCAAAATTTTAAACTAATATCCTCATATGTGGCTCTTATTTTTCATAAAAACAAAAATAAGGTAAAAAAAAAAAAATCTGGTAATTCTTTGTTTTTACATTCATCGGGCCCCAATATGCCCAAATATCAAAGAAAAATAAAAAATGCATGCCATGCAAGAGTTCGGGTCTTAGGAGGTTAAATGTTTTTATTTTTTTTAAAAAATTTTTTACAATTACCACGCAAGATATTTTCATTACTACCCATCTAGTAATCACATAACGGCTGAACACGCTTTCTGCATCTGGCTCGGTTTTCAAATCAACACCAGCATTTCTATATAGCACATGATGGGAAAACACGTTATATGGACTTAAGAGACTCATTTAAAATGTATTCATATTGTACTCATACTACCAATGTGTAAATATTTGGCAACATCATATAAAATGTCATGGAAATGTATGTCATGGTAATTTGGGCTTTTAGATGAAACTTTATTAATCCCTTGGCTGGGTTCCTCCGAGAAATTCAGTTTTTTGGTTTTTTGGGGGGGGTTTTTTAGATTAGGTGAAATTTTTAGATTAGATGAAAATTTTAATAATTTCTTTGAACTTTTCTTTTTACAAAGTGGATTTATTGCACAGAATACATATTTAATGACTTAGATCAGAGCATGATGCCACCACCACCATCATGCTCTTAGGTTTGAAATCCTCACATTTACTCCTCCAAACAGATATCTTGTAATTATGGCCTGAAAGCTCATTTCTCATCCAATCATAAAACATCTCCAAAAGACATTTGGCTCGTCCGTGTGGGAAGCTGCAAATTTCATTCGAGGTTGTCAATTCTGGAACAAGGGTTGTTGTTTTGGTGGGCACCCTTGTAGTTCATGGTGATGTAAAACTCACTTCACTTAGGAGTGTGACGCTGGCATTCCAGCAGTTTCCATTTCATGACAAGCTTGACCCTTGGTGGTTCCTAAACATCCTAACCAATTTCCTGTCATCTGTGGGTGACAGTTTGGGTCTTCTTCCAGACCTTGGTAAAGTGTTGATATATCCAAATAACTTGTACTTATGTATAATTTTCATAACAAATGATAAATTATCAGGGTTCCCCCCCCCTTTAGAAATAGCTCTAACAAATCTGGTTTATGCTGGCAAAAGTAAACTACTAGTTGTCAATCACGATCAAGTCAATAGGCCTTGGCTTTGTCCAGTTAAAGACATTGTAGAACCTTCAGCACAACTCCTTCCACCCTGGAAACATAACAATTCAAAGACATTCACACCCATAATGTATGCATGTAAACCTTGACCACTTATTTGTTCTCATGTCTGATATGTGTTGTATGAATTTATAAATAATCAAGACCACTTCAGTAAAAAAAGCTTTTATTTGCAGAACATCAAATCTCCTTCAAGAGCAATGGTAACATTAAGCTATTGGCATGTGGTGATCTGGATACATGAGCTGCACTGTGATCACATCAGCTTCTCTTTGGACTTTAGTTATAGAACCTAGTAAGTGCAAGCAAAGTCTGTCTAGAACATAGATCTTCTGGCATAATGCTATGAGATCTGCGCTGAAATAAAAAGGATTTCTCAGAAAGGAAACGGCCTATCTGCTCTGCCAACTCCAGGTTAGTATTCGCTCATTGCCAATATCATCTAACTATCATGACGTCTTGCAAAGAAAGACAGTCTTGTCAGGTCTCCACAAGCACAAAAGGCACATTATGTATTTAAGAGATAACAGGCGATTTTCCACAGTTGTACACTGGCATGGATATTCTGCTGTATGAGCTTTGATCCCAGCGATAGGCTGTTAGTTTTCACCCCCACAGAGAGCGAGCAGAATCTTCTCGTAATCATCTGCGGTGTCATCCTAAATGGGGAAAAATACAAGTTTGTTTTTTTTGTTTTTTTAAATCCATAAATCTTTACATGTTTTCTTTTGACATTTTTGTACCGTCATATGCACAATCCATTCAAAACTGAACATCTGGAATGGGTTTAACTTTTAGATGTTTGCTCACCAGAATGTCCTGGTAGAGTGTTTTGCCATAATTCTTCTTGTAGTCTTCCTTGATCCGCTTCATGTCAATTTCAGAGCGGCTCACCATGATGCGGGTCAAGATAGGCTTGCGGGTACCTTTACCCTGAAGGGCAGAAAAGAGCCAGTCATGAAACATTTATATTATAACATACCATTGATTATATTATATGTGGAAAAGATAACAGAAATATGAGATTAATGGGAATTTTTAAAAGTAAAAGGTTTTAGATTTGACTATTATTTCTATTTAGCGAAGAGCTGTTTTGCTACAGAACTTCAAGAACTGGACAAATTATAGGGGATTTACTCTCTATATCTATGCAACTGACTAAATGAAAGTCAGTTTGTAACTTAAAAACCATCCACCTAGTTATCTTGTTTAGTAAAAACAGATCAAACATGTCAAAAGGAGCTCCAGTGGGCAAAGGAATACCCTTTTTCAGCATTATGATGCTACTATGTTCAGACATTCACCCAGTGATAAATGTATTAAATGCATGAAGACTCCTTTGTCCATGGCTCAAGTTTCTCATGCTGGGACACTTCTCCAGTTCATGGGAGCCTATTTCCGACACTGACTGAGTGGTTTATTATTTATGTGACTTAGCAGATTAGATCATTTATGTGAATTAGCCAAAGTTAGCAAATTCTGATCCAAAGCAGCCCAGCATTGTTCACCAACAGCTTGCCCAAGGACACGTCAATATATAGATGCAGAAACTGGGGACTGAACATCCAACCTACTAAATAGCAGACAACTGGCTCTAAAACCTGAGCCACATTGACAGCCAATCAGTTTTTTCAAATGGCAATTGGCATCATCCAAATTAAGGAGTACTTCTACATTAATCCACTTGTGAATTATTTTCCCTGTAATATTCAGTTGTTCCTGTAGCAGCACATATACTGTACCTTCATGGCCAAGTAGAGTTTCTCTGCAAAGAAGGCAGTTCTGCTTCCAGCACACTTCACTGTGAATATATATTTTTTTAAAGTTTTAATCCAGTCCATCCAGAATATACTGATTTAATGCTAAAGTAATAGAGTTTAGAGGTTTCGTAAACAGAGGTTTGACTTTACCAACTGCTGTGAGGCAATTCTCAATATCTCCCTTCAGTTCGAGGTCAAGGGCTTTGGCCACATCCACTTTGCTGTACTTTTTGTACCTATCAAACACTGAAATAGAATACAGATTAGGTGCTATTCCTAAGAAGGAGATGTTAAAGATAAGACTTAAAAAATATATATACTTAACGGTGCATCAAACAGACCTTGACGGAGATGAATGGCACTCCTGCTGGTTAGGATGTCGATAAAGACAGCGCAGTTCGTGCCCTTCCTGGCCTCTCCCGCCTCATACAGAGCCCTGGCATCACTGTCAACCAGCTGCTCGCAAACTCCTTCAGTCCTGGCAGCCTGCGATATGAAGAAACAGATTGATTGGTGTACTGATGGAATCAAACTAGCTAATTAGCTAATTTAATAAATCATAGATATTTTTAAGAGTTGGAAAGCTGAAAAAGCACAGTAAGCACAAACAATGTTCTATTTAATGCCACTGAATTCACCAAGAAAGCTTCACATTTCTCAAAATTTAATTAAAATGTGGCTTTCAACTTTAAAATGTGAACTGAGTTTGTAAGATATCCAAATGAGAGTACACGTGACTGTATGTGTGCATGTCTAGGGAGTAAGTTTGCTTTTTATAATCAGCTCAGTGTTCCAGCTTCAGTGGGGAGTCTTATGTTGTTTCAGAACTTAGAGCATCCTGGTGCTATGACAGAATAAATGATTTTGAGATCCTGCAACAGATCAGTAAATAAAACACACTCAAGTACCTTGCAGAGTGCAATGAGGGCCGTCCTGAAGTCTCCACTAGTGTCAGACTTGATGTCCTCTTCCAGCTCTTTCTTGTATTCTTGGCAAAGTAATCGCAAAAGTGGAATTAGTTTTCCCACTGACACTTGTGTCATTGTTCAAATTTTAGCTTCTGGAAACTGAAGATTGTTGCTTGAACTTTGGCACAAACCTTCCTTGTAGACTTTCTTTAGGTCTACGATCTGCCTGTTGGTTCGGGAAGCTAAAATCTCAATCAGAGTGTCCTCGTCTGTTCCCAGACCCTGAGGCAGAGATGCACAGATAGAAGGATTGAGACAAAGTCTCTTAATGCTTCACAAAACCAGTTAAACACCTTTTAGCCACCTCCCTTTAGAAAAACAAAGGATTAATATGTTTAAGTGGGTGGATATCATCATGTGCCAACAATAAGAGATCATGGTGATACCAGAGAAAGCATTTACACAAATGTAGTCAAGTACTCTAATAGCTTTTTCTGTCAATGTGCTCATCTTAGTAATGTGCGTTTGTGTACCTTCATTGCCAGTTTTAGCTGCTGGGCATCATACTGGGCAGGAGTTTTCAACAGAGCCAACACGACTTCCTCCAGATCTCCCTTCAGAGCATTTTTCAGGGCTGTGTCCAGAGGCTATGAGGTATCAACGGATGATTAAATGTATGATCCAGAGGAAGTAATGTTTCCTGTCAGTTTTGGAACTTCTTGCTCCGATCGTGTTTGTCTAATTGTCATTACCTTGCCGTTGGCCTTCTGGTAAGCCTCTTTGATCTGCTGCCTCTGCTCGTTGCTCCTTTTGACCAGAATTTCAATAATGGTGTTCTCATCCACACCTGCACAAGCGAGTAAAACAAGCATTCCTGTCATTCTGCAGCAGTATGACTGTTCAGCATTCATTGTTTGGTGTGTGTGATCCCACAGAGAACAGAATGTAATCACATATGATGGCCAGCAGAGGGTGTTAAGATTCTTGACAAGGAAGACAAGAAAGTCTGTACTTAACACTTCGATACACATTGCAACACCAAAGCATGCTCGCACACGCTCCAAAGCGTCCCTCATGCATTTCAGCTTCACCTTTTGTCTTGATGGCCTTGTCCAAGACTGCTGCATCTCCACTAGGGTTGAAATTGAGCGCTGGCTTCACCGTTCCTTCATTCTTTAAAGCCTGAAACGTGCCAGATTATTGTGTTTGGTAAATACTTGTCTGCAGTTTAGAGGAATGTACAAGGTGGGATACAGGGGTGCATTTTTCAAATGTTTTAACTACAAAAGTGTTGAAACCCAGTGACTGTATCCTTGAAATTAAGGCAGAAAAAAAAAGGAGCCCCTACGGTTCCTCCCTTATTATTTCAGATGTCAACACAAAGCTTTTAAAATGTTGGCAGATGCCCTGTTTGGACTGAAGTGAACAATGAAAGAGTCCAAACTGTTATCCTACAACTTGTGCAACTTTTTCTAAACTTACTTTAAGAAATCGGTGAAAGGAGAAGTACCATTTTGTTCTGTTTGCAGAGTTTATAAAGGGAGGAGCTCAAATTCCGGCTTCAGTGACTCATACATTCCCAAAACTCTCTGGTTATCATTCTCTGTGCATATAATCTTTACAGTTCAGGCCCCTTTTTACTTTAATGATGTTTCTATAATTAATCTACCACCATTTTTTTTTTTTAGTTAATTTCCTTCCTCTCTTCAACATCTAAACTCATTCAATCTTTTTATATCGACACCTCCTACGCAGCGATTTTCTACTCTGCTGTACTGCCAGATCACTTTTTCCACCCTAGCATACCACAGGAAGAGACGGGGAAAAAAAAGAAAAACAGGGTGTTTGGCCTTAGCAACTGGAACCACAGTGTTACGTACTGAATCATCGGGCATGCCCAAGTAAACGCTCTGCTCCAAGAAGGCCTGGATGAAAGACATGGTGGGGAGTGGTCTGTCTGTAAGAGAGGAGGAGAAGGAGAAAGTCAGCAGTGTTTGATCCAAATATGAACATTTATCGTAGCATTTAAAGTTTTGTTTCTCCTTGTGAGAAACAGTTGAGCATCTAAAAATAAAGTTTTTTGTAAATGTTGCTCAAAGTAGTGACTCTTTTGGCATTCTAAGTTCTAAAGCATTAAACTAAAAAAAAAAAAAAAAAAAAAAGGGGGTTTCTTTTATCTGCTGTTGGAGAGGTCAAGTGCAAGTCCAGATATCTACTCTGATTTACAATAAGCAGTTTTCTATAATGACAAGCATCTGTAGCAAACACCCTGGCCACACCCACTCTCATCTCTGATACGGACATACATTATAATGTGGGATAGAACATATCTATTTATATCGATTGATTTTATGATAGAATTTGACTTCTCTATGTAGTTGGGACAGCCGAGCACGTCAAGACAAACGTTAACCTCACACTCCCCTCCGCCTCGTAAGTTGCACCAATCAATATACCTTGCTGCAACTTTAGATCTCATCGGGGAGAGGAGACCAAAAGCCATCAAATCTCGCTCCAAACTCAGCTGAGTTCAGAATCTACAACGCCAAAGATTTCCTGGGAGTCAAAAGACTTACCGTGTTGCCTTAAAGAGAAGAAGTTTGTCTCACCGAGTTTCCAGGGGCGTTGTAGTGACAGAAAGCGTGTATTTATACTCGAGCACAAACCACTCCTAGTGACGGGTCCAGCCCACGCCGCCCTCCGCGGCTACCATTGGGCTGAATCTCTGCTGTGTGCCCTCGGCAGCTGCAATCTAAACGCAACATCCGGATTCAGTAGAGAGCTGGCAACAGATCCTCCTGCAGATTTAAAACAGTCCCGTTGCTTACTTGAAAACATCTGCCGATCACGTGCCAGGTATAAAAAATGTTAATAAAAATTGTGATCTCGTGGACATGTAGGACATCTGGGAGTGGTGTGTTCAGGGTTGGGTTGCTGCTTGCGGCACAGGGAGGAGAAGGCTGGGCGGCAGGGGACTCTCTGGCTGGCTGGAGCACCAACCCGCAAAATAAAAAATAGAGCAAATTTCATTCATAATGTTGTAAATCCAAGCCCATTATAATTATAATTTGAATCTCGGGCTGTGCGAAAACCCAGAAATACACCCTAGACCAGCGGTCCCCAACCTTTTTTGACCGGTTTATGGCCGACAATATTTTCATGGACCGGCCTTTAAGGTGTCGCGGATAAATACAACAAAATAAAACTAGTACCGGTACCGAAAAAAAGAAAATTTATTCATAACACACGTGAAAAGACCCAGGAAAACCGAGTAAACGATAAAAACGATAACAAAATAACGCTGAAAACCGATAAAAACCCTGAAAACTATACATTTCACGCCTGAGCCTCAACTCTCGCGGCCCGGTACCAAACGACTCACGGACCGGTACCCTAGACAAAGTGAATCCGTGAACTAAGGTGTAGGTCTGTTAGGTTATGTTGTGGTGATCCTCTGGTTGGGGGATGTTTGTTCATACTGGAGTGCAAAATTAAAACCAATGGGAGATGGACAAGAAAAGGTCAAAGCCATCAGGTGCTCAGTTTAGAAAAAAGAGAAAAGAAGAGGAGGAGAAATGAGCAAAAGATACAGATAAGCAGATGTGTCATTGGATAATGGCAGGTCATGTATCCTGAAACAATCATAATCATAATTCTTTATTAATCCCTAAGGAAATTATATGGGTTACAGTTGCTCCAAGAAGAAAGTGTAAAAATAGTAACAGTAACAGGCTAAACTCCAAACAATACATTATGTTACAGATTTTACACATTTAAGAAATAGTACCAATATATACAGATCACTCAATTATAAATATCAAGGATTAACAAAGGTGATTATAAATAAATATCAAGAAAATTGACAAGAACATTATAGAGTAGAAAAGAGCGTATGGATAAAGGGTGTAACTATTGCAGTGTTGACATTGTATTAGATGGAGAGGTTGTACAGGGAGATGGCCACGGGCAGGAATGATTTCCTGTGTCATTCAGTGGTGCTTTTTGGTAATCTCAGTCTCTCACTGAACGTGCTCCTGTTAGTAGCCAGCATGGCATGGAGTGGGTGGGAGGTATTATCCAAGATGGTCCTTATCTTGGACAACATCTGCCTCTCAGACACCACCCTAACGGAGTCCAGCTCCATCCCTACAACATTACTGGGCTTGTGGATCAGTTTATTTAGTCTGTTGCCATCTGTGACCCTCAACCTGCTGCCCCAGCATGCAACAGCATAGAGGATAGCACTGACCACAACAGAGATACACCAAGATAACACTAATTAGTAGGGATAGTGAAAACTTCTGTTTACGTTTGTTAGCCACTTGGCTATGATAGTAAACCGCAGACACTGATGTAGCTTACTGAATCTTTTGGACTGTGTTCAGCACAATATTAATTAGTCATTGTTGGGGTGATCGTGGCTCAAGAGTTGGGAGTTCGCCTTGTAATCGGAAGGTTGCCGGTTCGAGCCCCGGCTTGGGCAGTCTCGGTCGTTGTGTCCTTGGGCAAGACACTTCACCCGTTGCCTACTGGTGGTGGTCAGAGGGCCCGGTGGCGCCAGTGTCCGGCAGCCTCGCCTCTGTCAGTGCGCCCCAGGGTGGCTGTGGCTACAATGTAGCTGCCATCACCAGTGTGTGAATGGGTGGATGACTGGATATGTAAAGCGCTTTGGGGTCCTTAGGGACTAGTAAAGCGCTATATAAATACAGGCCTTTTACCATTGTCAGTTGTTGATTTGTCCTATTCTCATTGTATGATGAATTATGATGGCTGTTTGTTAAGTGTTTGCATACTATGCATACTCTCTCTCTCTCTTCATATATATGTTTGTGTGTGTGTGTGTGTGTGTGTGTGTTTCGCCAAAGGGAGTGTTCGTCCAGGGCGTCAAACATGTTAGGACCTCTACTGGTCTTACTGGTTGGTAGATCAAATATCTGTCTTTGACGTTCCTGCTGTTTTCTCTTGTCTTTGCAACAAGTGACGTTAAACAGTATGACAGCACTACTGTCATGTATTTATGTGGGAGTCCAGCATTACATTGTCTGTATGAATAACCAAGCTAACCAAGACCTCAAAATTTCTCCAAAGTCTAAGCCTTGGAGTGATGTCTGAGGTGTGTTGTGTTGTCATGACAGCAGGGTCAGGTTGTCATACTCCTTGAAGTCTGCATGTCTCAACAGAGTGTTAATGCTGTCAGTGATTACAATATTTTAACCCCGTCAGACTTTGTAATCAGACGGAACAATCGAATTCCCAGAGGCTAGTGGCGACATGCAATAAAACCTCTGTTACATATACGATATGTCCTGATATTTTCCAGTGATGAAAGACTTGTGTGATTAATTGGTTGGAGTTTCCAGACTGGAGAAAAAGGGTGAGTTTGATATCCAGGGTTAGGGTTGCGAATGTGGAGAAATAAAGGGAAACAGCAGGCAAAGCTGCATTTTCATTAAAGTGGTATCACGGGTGGATTTACCTCTAAGGAAGGTGTGTTAAACAGATGCTCAAGCTGTGGGCCAAATGTTCCAAATGAGTTTCTCAGTCTAAGAAAGAAAAAAAAGGAAACTGTAACAGAGACCCTCAGCCAAGGACAAAAGGACAACATTAGCAGCTGCAACTGATATGATTTTATTACAAAATAAATTCTATTAGCAAGAATTTCTGATTTTGTCTTCATTCTCTTCTTATTTTCTGTAGGTGGTGTGTTTTCAGTTTTATTAACTTTATTTGGGAAAGTGTAGGTTTCCAAGGAAAGAAAGAGAAAAAAACAGAGCCCAAGTGAAGAGTGTGTGTGTAACCTATATATGTGTCTGTTAGTATGAGGAAGCATCCAGTTACAATCTCTATCTCACACACGGGAAACCTGAGGACTGTTTATGGCATCTTTTTACCCTCTGGCTGTGCAGAGTTTAAGCTGGTACCCGGTGAAACTCCATCTCTGCAGGTTTAATATTTAAAGACTGTTTAGAGTTTGGTTCCCATAAGAGATCAGGATCATCTCGTTCTCCTGATCAGCACAGCAGCACCCTGGCCTGAATCACATCGAAGGGATCTGAGCTGCTCTGACAACCAGGTAGTTCTGCTTTTTTCTCTCTCTTTTTTACTTTTTTGTATTTAAATATACATTCATTTGCATATTTTTACTGTTTAGTGGATGCTGTTATAGTAAATTTGCACAAGTTTAGTAAAGGAAGCTGAAGATTTGTCCTGATACGGCACAGTGAAATGAGAGAATCTGAAAATAAAAATAGGTCCACAATGAAAGTTTGGGATTTTCAGTTTTTCCTGTTCTGAAGCTTGCAGCTTATAGTAGCTTGGAGTGGCTGACTGAAGGATTACACTCCTTGAGTGAAGCTGCTGAGTGGGCATTTAGACATCTGCACATAGTTTGAGGGCGCGATTGAAAGTTCAAGATATAGATCAAAATATTTGAGGATTTTCAGTCTATAAGTTCATTTTTTTTAGCTTTCAAAATTCAACATGATTTTTCCTTTTTGTGTGTTTCAGACGGGTCCACTCTCATGTGTCAACTTAACAGAGATCAACCTAAAGAATACACTGAAAAAAAGGGATTGTCCATCTCTTGGATTTATGTAAGCATCTTGCGTGTATTTAAAGTTAAGTGTAACTATATAGTGTAGAAACTACATGATATGCAGAGAGGGTAGATTAAATTGTTCATATCATGTTCGAGTGAAGTAAGTCAATAATATATCAATGTTTAATCTCGCGACACTGCATGGGATTTCAGTCTCGTGTGCTTTGGATCGTGGTGTGAGGAAGGCATCCATCTCAGTCAAGTCGAGCAGCTGCCTCTACCTTTTTCGGTATACCGAAAAATATAAATTAGGTGGTTGTTAAATTAAAAAAGGCTACCTTGTAATTTGAACACAAAAATGTCATGTTTTGAGCCAACCATCCCTTTAACGTTAACTAGTAATGACTTCATGAACTTCTTCACAAATAAAATTCTTATCATTAGAGAAAATAATGCCAATAATCATCCCACAGATGTAATATCATCTACAGTTACTCTTAGTACCATTGATGTTAAGTTAGACTCTTTTTCTCCAATTGATCTTTCTGAGTTAACTTCAATAATTACTTCCTCCAAACCATCAATGTGTCTTTTAGACCCCATTCCTACAAAACTGCTCAAAGAAGTCCTGCCATTAATTAATTCTTCGACCCTAAATATGATCAACCTATCTCTAATAATCGGCTATGTACCACAGGCCTTCGAGGTGGCTGTAGTTAAACCTTCAAAAAGCCATCTCTAGACCCAGCAGTCTTAGCTAATTATAGGCCAATCTCCAACCTTCCTTTCATATCAAAAATCCTTGAAAGAGTAGTTGTCACACAGCTAACAGATCATCTGCAGAGGAATGGCTTCTTTGAAGGGTTTCAGTCAGGTTTCAGAGCTCATCACAGCACAGAAACAGCTTTAGTGAAGGTTACAAATGATCTTCTTATGGCCTCTGACAGTGGACTCATCTCTGTGCTTGTCCTGCTAGACCTCAGTGCAGCATTCGATACTGTTGACCATAATATCCTATTAGAGCGATTAGAACATGCTGTAGGTATTACAGGTACTGTGCTGCAGTGGTTTGAATCATATCTATCTAATAGACTCCAATTTGTACATGTAAATGGAGAGTCCTCTTCACACACTGAGGTTAATT